CCCTCTCTCTCTCTCTCTCTCTCTCTCTCTCTCTCTCTCGGGGGTAGATTCCTTGGCTCACCGCGACGCAGGGGACGTCGAGGATCGAAAGGCGAGAGGGCGATGGAGGTACTCGCGATCAGCGCGCGTTAGCGAAACTGCGTGGAGCCAGCGCAGGTTAAGGTGTGGGCTTCTGCCACGTGGCTCGTCGCGAGTAACCGTGACCCCACCTCATCCCACTTTCCAGCTCTGGGCACAGGGGCCTACCTTTTTATCTTTTCTGTGGGTGTGGTTTGGCGAACGTGTCCCACCCGGATTCCTTACCGTTCACGTAGGTAATGTAGTGGTGTAACTCGAGAGATAGCAACAATGGTGAGATATGATGGAAGCTTATGTACAATGAGAGACTGCATCAGATGCCGCAGTGAAACTTCCTATTGGTGCAGGAAGACTTGCTTCGAGTGCTGACCTTTAACAGTGCAGACTCATAATTCTTCTGCCACCAAATCAGCAGAAGAATCACAGCTGATGAACACATGTAGTCGACACATGATTTTTATTCTCGGCCTTCTCTCGTGACAAAACTCCTCCTCTGCTCAACTCTTTCTGATTCATGTCTACATTGATAGATACGATACTTTTATAAACCCTCGTCAGATCAGACAGGAACTGTGCTTCTTCTCTTCCAAAACATGTCTCAACATGGCCTAAGCAGTTTGATTGCATCCACAAGCCCCCAAAAGCTCTGCAAAAGGTGCAATAACCTGCCATGTTGATCATTTACAAATCACAAGGCAAAAGATCTTGGAGCTTAAGCTAAATTCTGCCTACTTGTTGCCAAGAGAGATTTATTGTAGTTTGGGCAGTCATAACTACTACCCTTGTTTTGTTGCTGAGTGTGATGCCAGTGGATGGACAGTGCAGGAAAAGTGAAGACCTTGTCAGGTTGGCTCTGTTCACCTGCAACACAGGTTAATTTGGCAGGTAAACCATATTACATGTATATAGAACATTAACACATGGTTTGCTGCCATGTAAAACAAAGCCATTCAGCTACTATCAGTAGATTACTAAAGCTTCCAATCCTTTCTATGACTACCAAGTTAAACTTCTGTCACCTTCAGATTGCCTTTATTTGGAGCTACCACAAACATTGTGCACCAATAGACAGGCACAGAAAGGACTACTACTTATAATCTTCCCTGGTGCAGATAATCCAGTTGTGTATTCCAACTTGAATTGGTATCTGCTGTCTCATTCTGATATTACAAAGACAGACTTGTAATCAGATATCCAAGCTTGCAGAATACCATGCTTTTGAGCTGGTCCAACACCACCTGTCAAGATGTCCCCAGCAATATGGATGGACCACCAAATTGATCCTGATAGGCTGATTAACATCATACTTTGTCTGAAATTTAATACAAAGCACTTGTATTTTTCTTTGGTCCTTGTAATAAAGCTTGGATGATATGTTTGGTCATGGTTCAAGATATGATTTATGGCTGACCTGCTAAGTTTTGAGGAGAAAAATCTGCAGTAAATGACAAACAAAGAAATTTTATTTGAAAACTTGAAGAAGCACTTGTATTTTTCCTTTTGTTCATCCTGTAAATGAAGACAGAGTGCAGTGGAAAAGACCTTCTTTGGTGTTCTCTGTCATAACCTTGCAGTGATTCTTAGAACATGGTATTTATCCAAATCATGGTCTTGGCTCGTCCCATTCAGAGCTAAAGAAGCAATATGCACTACAAGAAGCAAGGAGATATCGAAGGTGCTGCGAACTCAGCTCTTGTAAAAGCCTTTCTTTAGCTAGCAGTCTTGAAGTTTGAACAGGATTTTATGACAACGTATGCAATCAGATTGTACCTTGTCACCTCCTCTCATGACAAAAGATACTTGTTCTAGGGATTGGCATTCATCATGTGTGGCTAGTGATCCTGAGATCTTGACAGAGAGAAGGATGTAATGGTCTAAATACACAGGCATGTGATTGAACTGTGGTGGATGCCATTGGTTTACACAAATGTCAGTGTTCTGCAACAGTTTCAGACATGAAATGGAGAGTCATTTGACTGCTGAACCATGGGAAGGTGGAAGACACTAATCACTAGAGGAGCATCTGCATGAGACACAGGATGTTGTAAGGATGATCAAAAGTGGTAATCTTGGTTAAGATTCTCTCATTAATGATTCAATCATACATCTTTACTTGCTGCATGATGAGATCAATAATGCCATATGGCCTGAGAAGGACATAGGTTAAAATTAATGGTGAAATACCTAATTTTATTGGTAGTCTGGCAATAATGAATTTAAGAGTGCTAAAAAAGAAGAAAAAAAAATACTCTTTTTTCTTCCACCATAGATTTAGAACTCAAACATTCATCAAAATACCATCTTCAGAAAATTTGATCCCTATCTCCGGTCCTTAAAGCAAGGTTAACAAATCCAACTAAATTTTAGTTTCAAACTCCAACTCAATTTGAAACACTGAAAAGAATTACTCTGAATTACCATGTAATAATAGTACACAGTTTTGTTTCTCTGAGGCCTCAATAGTTTCTGGAAACAACTCTGAAAAGGCTTCTCTATCAATCCACTTTTCTTGACAACCACTGCCTTTAACAGTGAGGATCTAATTATTGCATATATAACTAGCTTAAGAAGTTCTTGAAAATTTCAAAATGTGTTTGAATACAATATAGAGAAAGCAAATGATAAAGTGATACTTAATCATGGTAGAAGCAGCAGCAGGAGGTATTTTAGCTAGAGTTCTTTTGTGGATGTGTAATTGGAGGGTAGTTTGATTTTATTCAGGTTCTTTTGGTGGAATAACAAGCATATTGAAAGTCTAAAATTCAGATAAATATATGAGATACATAAGAAAAGGAAGAGAAAGAAAGTAATAAATTACATCTTATCCAAACAAAATGAAAGATGAACAACATGGCTGATGAAATGTTCCTATCCTTGATCTCTACTCCACTCTGTCTAACATACTTCCACAACACTCTATCTTAATTTCCTGAGGGAATTGTTCAACCTCTCCAGAGTTCAGAGACCATCCAACCACCACTGGCTTATTGATGTTGGCTTGTCGAGGACAATATATTATTGAGAACATCATCTAATATGTGGTTGATCTGAAGCACATGAGCTTCTTCAGTACCTTTCACTTGATTTTAACCTGCAAACAAACTAGGGAGAGGATTAGGCCAATTAGATTAGCAGTCGTGATTAAAAGGCTCTTTTCGTGATCTCAGAGAATCCAAAAGGATTCAGCATGAGAAAGACATTACAGCTTCATAGATCATCTGTCATTGTTAGCCTTAATCAGGTCTCACTCCAAATGCTGGTTCTTGGAATCAGGACTGTGATTAGAAGGAATCGTAGTGCAGACATTGTAACCAAAGCCCAAGGCTGGTATTGAATAGAACATTGAGCACAGTTTGGAGGTGTGATTCTATTCTAATCTTGATTAGGATAACAATAATACTATATGATATGCCTGTTTCATATAATTATGTGAGTCCATGCACTGTTACTTTTCTCTCTGCCAACACTGTGAAAAGATGTAGAGAGAGGTTTGTTTGGCCAACATGGACGTGAGCATATGATGGTGAGCAATGATGCAGGGCACTGCGAGAGAGAGGTCTCTGCCTCCCATCTCCATGAAGACAAACGAGCTTTGCACGTGGTGATGGTAGTGAAACAGGTGAGAGAGTAAGGGCTTCTTGCTCAGCCACTGCAACAAGTTCTTCTTCCGTGCAGACACACACACACACACGCAGAGGACATTAAAGCAGCTCATTAATGGGTACCATGCTCGACTCCAAAGCGAGCAATCATGTGCCAAAAGACGTCCAACATCTTCCCTTTCCCTGACACACTCAATGTGGGAAACATTGAGCAGTACGTCGTCCATCTCGTGTCTGTCCATGGCACATCGCCCTCAAAGAACACAAACGCAGATGCATCCCTGCCTCTTCAAGCAAAAGCTGCTAGTTTGGGTCGAACATGGTCCTAAACAACAGCGGAAGAAGAATCCAAAGAGGTGGATTCTACATCAAGTTGCAGAGAGGAAGGTGATGATGCTAAGTGTAGGGTCGTTGGCCTCCATGGCGGTACGAGAGACGAAGAATCTAGGGTCTGTGCCCCATAGATCTTGGTCGTTCCCTAGCTACGTAGGCTACCAAGTTGGTGGTGCTTCTTCAGCCTTGCGACATTGCTCGTCTGCTTCCAGTACTAATCTTTCTGCAAGAGTTGCTGTGGTGAGGGACACTTTAGGCCTTTAGAAGCATTGGGGGAAAAAAAGGGTAATTTTTGGGACCATTTCTTTGGATCGAGATGAGATTCATGTGAGGGAATGCTGATTTTGATGTTATTGCAATGTGTAAATCTATATTTATGCATAAAGATATTGAAATTCAGGTGAGGGTATGCTCATTTTTGTGCATAAAGATATTTGAGATTTATAACTCAACACAATCCCAACCTAATTTTAGCAAAACAAAATAGGAGTTGATAGTGAATTAGGAGGGTAGTTTAGTCTCTAAATGATTTTATTTTAAGTTAAAATTTAGTATGTATTTAGTGTCATATGTCTCCTAGTTTTTTATAAATTTTCATGATAATTTAATATCATTTGGTCACTATAATAATGAAGTAATATTTTTTTCGTAGAATTATGTGATGGTTTCATTGATACTAATTAATTTATTTAATTATAGAGTGGATTTTTAAATTAAATATAATTTATTTTATAAGAGATTTTATCAATTTTTTTTCTATGAATTATTATAAATCAACAATTCAAGATGTAGGATTCTTAATTAAGACATCTCATGACCCTATAATTCCAATTGATAGGTGTATCACTCTCTACCACACTCGATAATTAAGTAATGTGATATTTTATTGACATCTTCATTTTTGAATTCATTCATGTGATTATAAGCTTAATTCATTGTAAAATAGTTATTGTATAAATTATCATATTCATAATATATTTTGGAAAGTATATTTTGAATGATATGATTGTCATGAGCTAAATGTGAATATATATAAGCATAAAAATATATGAATTATGATGTAAATGTATTGTATAGATGGATAATGTATGGTGTGAGAGTGTATGTATTTTTTTATAACATGTGATATGAGAGTGCATCAATATATTATGACGTGTAATAGCATGTATATATGATGATGATGTGTTGTGTAGTAGTACATATATATGTTATGATATGATGAGTATAAGTATATGAAATTGTTATGTTTCCTACATGTGCATAATGCCTTTTGAATTATTTTGACGTAAAATTTATCTTTTTATTTTGCATCAGATGCTTATCGTTAAATGCCTTATATCGATGATTTTAAAATATTATACACATAACATCATACATGCTCACCTAAAAAAGACTATAAAAACTTATATTTACCGAGTGATTACTCATTATATATCCTATTTTATAAACAAAAGTACTAGTATCATACTAAGTGATGAAGTAGGAAAGTAGGTACGTGCAAGCCCATACCTACATAGATACAAATGATGACTTGTGGGCACTTTGTGTATATAAATATTGGATATATTATGTTTATGTTTTTCTTTAGTTAGATATTATAATTATCTATATATGTCAAAAATACTATAGTATTGTATATAGGAAAAACCTTATTATTTTGTTTAATAAATTAATATGTCTTAATTTTAATATTATTTATTTTTTACTATATTTCCATCGATAATAGTAATAAAAATAAAAATATAATATTCAATCTTAATGATGCATGTAAGATATAGGTGAAATTAGAAATGGGGTATCATAAAAAAAATTTAAAATTTAAAATTTAAAATTTTAGCAGCATTATATTTTTCTTGTAGTCTTATCATTTTGGATGCTAAACTTTAATCATCATTTCAATCAAAGTCTTACTAGTACACTTATAACCTGACACAAATTTGCATTTATGCATAAGTACTTGTCAACCTGATATATATGTGCCCACCGAACGAGTGGTGCTCAACGGGCACATGAATCCATGGTGACAGACATTTTGAAACTGACATGACAATTGAATGTCACGGCTGACATGACATGACAACCTGATCGAAATAACCTCGCTAATCTTTATCTTGGTAGAATAAAAAGATCAACTCTTCCCTCGGAGAGTTGAAGATGCTAACCTTTTCTAAATGAACACTTTTTGAAGTCTAACATAAGTCATGCTTGAATGAATTTACATGGACTAATGACTTGGAGGCAGAGATTGACAACTCATCTTGGCATGATGACAGATAATGAGGTAAGATGGAGTCATCTCCTGCATATTTACATGGACTAATGATATAATTTTACCCTCTCTACTAATGTAATGCATCTTCAAATGCAAAGCTTCCCACGTACTCGGTCAAAGGACCAAGTCTTCCCTTCTTCCCTGGATTACGAGAATATACAGCCACACCCATTCACACAACATCCATACATCAAAAAATCGGCAAGTAGATCAACGAAAATGAGCATTATTAATGCATGCTGTACTCGAATCATGCAAACCATTATCCAAACTCCAAAGAAGCTGAACAAAATCTTTCAAGGTTCAGGAATTTGAAGTCATTCCCAGCAACCAAGTACTTCTTCTTGGGCAGTCCATACCTGAATATGGAAACAGGCACTTGAGATGTTGAAATGATCTAATTTACTTCCCACAACCAGTCAAAATTTATGAATTAAATCTGACAATTTCAAAGGGGGGACATTCAGAAGTGCTAGTTTCCACGATGCATTTTACATTACCATTAGCTACATCTTACTCGCCTAAAACCGTCTGGTGTTTCACTCACTACAGCTAGAACAGCTCAGTGAAGCCTCTTTTCAGCTCACTTGTTGTTGGTTCCCGTAGAAAGAATAAGCCCCATAAGCAGCATACATGCTCGGGTCTGGAACTGGTGCAGCATATACATACCCATTATAAAATTGCCCTCCATAATACATGCCGTTCCACTGGTTACCCAAGTCAGATCGTAACTGTGAAGAAACCAGATATGTCATGAGTTAAGAACAGGCAAAAACTGTGCTAAATCTAACAGATAGGTTGCCCCCTTATGCTAAGGGAAGTGTTTGGAATTTGGAACTAGTCGCAAATTGAGATCGTATCTGAAAATTCTAAATGAACCTCTACAAGTGAACCAGCATCAATTGGTACTTTGAAACGAATTGAAGAGCTTTGGTGCTTCATTAGCACAAAGAACAGTTTCAATGGTTTCATCATATTCAAGGTTCCACTTTCCAGCCATTAAACTAATCTAATGTCACACATAAAAGGTCAAACCTGTTTGTTTGCAGGGTTGCGGCCCCAAGAAAGACGTACAGTCTGCTTTCCAATAACTGTTCCATTTAACCCCTGCAGTGCCTCTTCAGCATTGTTTCTACCAAAGTAAAACATTAAGGAGAGGAGTTATGTCATTTTCTATTACTGTCACATTTTCTGAAACTAAAGATCGTGTAGTACCTTTGGACGAACTGCACAAATCCACATTGTTTCCCAACTGGTATTTTTACTGAGGCAATCTCACCATATAGAGAAAATGTCCGCTTAAGATCATCTTCACTAACATTTGGGTCAAGTCCTCCGACAAATACCTATAGCAAGTCACAAAAGATAGATAAATAACAGAAAGCTATATATGTAGATAGCAGAAACTTGCGTAGACAGCATCTTTACTTACTGTTGTGTTAGTCAAGTCTCCATCTGATTGAGCAGATGAACCATTAGATCCAGAAACCCCTAAGATGACAATGCAAATCATGGAAAACTAAAATAACCCAAACGGTTATAACTTCATAACGAGTATATATAATGTAAATTCCTAATAAAAACATGCAGAAGCTGGAAAAATTGGTCAATTTATCATCAATTATATAAAAGAAAAATAATATGAATCTTTAAGCCACTTGCAAAAGGTGTTTTGTGCCAGTTAGTACACTTTTGGATTGATAAAGTTTGTTTAGTTTCCGAAAAGTGTTAACCCAATAGACGATAAAAATCTCTGCAACTTTAAACAGACAAACACACTTCTGCTTAGCCATACATCCCTACCTCCAATCAGCTCAAGTGAAAATGCCATTGCTCCTATTTCAAATGACTGGTATACCTCTTTAAGTTGAGTTAACAAAAAGGTTTACACTTTTCATATTTCCCGTTTGGCATCATACTGGATTTAACTGTTTTAAATATCTGTACTTTCAAGATGACTACACTCTGCATACTAAAACTTCAGTCTTCCACAATCTCCAGCAATTTGAGGGTTCTCTCTTCACCGGATAAGATCAAACCATAACCAATAAGCTTGCTAGGCTTTGCTCCAAACAAGACACTAAAATAAGATGGAGGGCAGATATCAGGTTGACAGGCGACCATAGGATTTTGCTCAAATTTTGACGGAGTCTTCTATATTTATAGTTGTTCACCATAGCCGACTCCATAAAGACAAGTCAAACAATTGTAAACACACACAACCAAGAAACAGGCTTAATAAAATGAACCAAGATAAAGGCAAAGAACAAGGCAAGTCATTAACACTTTCACACTTTCAATGTAGAACAGAACCCTTCTATGTCTAGTCACATTGTTGAAAGGAACTCTTCTATGGCACCAGAGCCATAAATGTAGATCATGCATTGGTGTTCTGAGGGGAATTGTGAGAGGAGACTTCAAAGATCAAGGTGCATCTTGTTCTAGCCTAAAAAACACCTCACGTTTTCTTATTGTTAAGTTCATAATGCATTTCCAGAATAAGTGATTTAAGAAAACGAGGACCTAACATGTTCTCATCACTGTCAACTTCCTAAGATATATATCTTTCAAGTAAACATATGAAACTGAAAATTCAAAAACAAAAAGTGTATAAAGAAATAATGAAAAAGAACAATGGAGAACAATTCATTAACAGTAACTTATTGGCTGATTTAAAATAAATAATCATGCTATTGGAAATATATTAAATGCAATTATAGTAAAAAGCTACTATATACATCACATAAGAGACTTAGAACTTAACAATCTATATCTTCAAAGATAATAATAAGCCTGTCGTAAAGCCGAATGCTTATCCATCATGAAGCTGAAGTGCATGATGATCCAAAAACATAAAAAAAAGGTTTTGGGGGCTATTTTAAATTCTATGTGATCTCCATTCTCTATGATAGGAGTCCGATTTCTTTAAAAGGTTAAAGACTATGTATCCTTATCTTTCTCTTTCAATATCCTTTCCTACTGTCTTACATAATGGTTGGTAGATGAAAAATGAGATAGTTCTTTTGTCCCCTCCATTTGACTTCCGTCGTCTTCCTTCTCTTTATCTTCCTTTGAGGTTATAAATCAACCAAAATTGATCAAAATTGTACTAATTCTGGTTGTGTTAGATTGATTTTACTTGTTTCTCACCAATCTCTAACTATAAAGCCAAAAGATTGGCCAAAAATCACCTTAGACCACAGTGTAGATCATGTGATTGTATCAAAATCAGCTAATTCTGTGTATTACATTGTAAATATTGCTTTTGAGTTAGAAGATAACAATAATTTTGGAATCAGTGAGTCACAAAATCACTAGACCTTTGCATACTTCTATTTTTTAATTCTTAAAATGTTCTGCGATGCAAATTCTAGGAATATCTTGTAGGGTAGGTAAAAAGAAAGTGTTAATTCAAAAAGTGTGATTTTATCTACTATGAAAGAAACATGGCTGTGATGATGACATTATAGTAATAAAGACTTATCACTTGTACCTTCTATACTTTTACAGGGTGCTGTCCCTGATAAACTCAAAGATAAGAAGAATATAAGGCATCCTACTCCCTTAAAGAAAAAAAAGAATTGCAAAAAATCTTCTGCTTGCAATTCTACCACCATATAATGGACCTCACTCATGGAATAGAAATGTAACTTAAAAATGCAAATTATAATTGTATATTCCAAACAAATAATACGCAATGTGCCCATGCAAGATAAGCATAATACTAGGAGAGAATGCAAATATACCAGATGACTTTCTGGGAGTTGCTGGACCAATGCGCATTGGTCTGGTTGAACAGTATACACCATTCATTTCAGTCATGGAAAGTGTCTTCTCATTTTCATTTCCAAATCTTACAAATCCATAACCCTTTGAACGGCCAGTATTTGCATCAATAACAACTTTTGCGCCTTTTACAGATGGGTATTTACTAGCAAAAATTTCTTGTAATGTGGCATCAGTAACATCAGAAGCTAAATCTCCTACAAATATAGAGTAATCAGAGGAAGCATCTGAACGTCTATCACCCATACTAAATGATGCCCAATTTAGCCTAAAAGGTTGATCAGTGTTAGGCATTGTATGACCACCAAAGTTTTGAAGTACTTTTTCAGCTGCTGCGTGTGTATAGAACTCCACGAAACCATATCCCTCTGACTGTCCAGTCTGCTTATTGCGGATGACTTTGATGGAAACAACCTGCAAATTGATTCAAGGATTTATGAGAAACAAGAATATAATATGCCGTATTTAAAAGTTATATATTATTGGATACATGAGAAGCAGATATCACTGTGCATATGACATAGTAAATATATATGCCATCTTTCAATGATATATATGTTACTGGATAGGTAAGAAGCAGGTATCACACTGTATATGACTGATATATTAAGTGCTCTGTACAAAAGAAACTAAATGAATAAATGGACATGGACATGAAAACCTACACAATCTACTATCCATATATCAAAGGAAACACACCATATTCCATCCATGTAAAATCAATAAGTTCACACATGAAGGCCATTTAAGACAAAAAAAGGAAAAAATGAAAAACAATGTGTTAATGGTTGACTCATAATAAAGAAAATATTTACAAAGAATTACTAAGAATAATAAATAATATTTACCATTGGCAACATAATGATTGACTCAAAAACATGCTTAAAATTCAGTTAAAACATGCTCAAGATATAATAGAACTATAGAAGTACTTTGGGTAACAAAAAGAATGGCATTTAAAACAAAATATATACATACATACATACATTGTATATACACATATATACAGTGTATATACATGTGTGTGTGTGCATCAGTCTCAGCACAAAAAAAAAAAAAAAATTCAACCTCGGACACTGAAGAAGTAGCCTATTATAACATTACTTCCATTTAAGTCTACACGGTAGCCCAGAAACTGAAATGAAAGAAAACCACAATTTTCAGCCTCTAATATCTTTGAAGGGGCAAATGAAATATCACCTCCATTTATGTCTACAAGGTAGCCTAGAAAGCAAAATAAAAGAAAACCACAATTTAGCCATTGTTCAGTAGGATAAAAAATGGCAAAGAAAATCATAGGAAAAATTGTTAAGATACGGGTTGGTAGGTGTCATTTCCCCAAAATTGCTACTTTTACAAAAGAAAAATAAATGTGCCAACAACTTCAAAAACTTAAAACAGTCATAGAAGTAATGTTGGCTGAGGACAGCAGAAGAATAAAAGCACTGGTAGACTGAACCCTAGATCAACAGGTATAAGATGTACAAAACATATCACATGGGTGACTGGCGAATAATGGATTGCTCATGTCACTCGCATTCAATCATGTCATGCTAGCCCTGGCCTGTAGGCTACGTAGTGCACAACATATATTTATACAACTATGTGAAGGCTTAGATCCAGACGCAATGCTGCATCATTGCAGGAGCACTGCTTGATTTGTATCTTCCCATTCACACCATTAATTTAAGGGTCATATTTTCAGTGCAATTATCAAGAGTGAATTAGTTTTAGTATTTATTGCTAGGCTTGCACCATCCAATCCTTCATAATCTGGCTATCCATAAACAGAGACAAGGTAGAATCATGATACAATCACAAATTAGGTAATCCCATGGTATAAAGACAACATTTCCTAATAAATATCTCTCCTTGAAAGCTTATGGAAACTATAAAAGATCTAGTACTCCTCCACAACGTTTTCGACAATAAATCCTTGAAAACAATGTCTCAATTAACTAAGCCTCTACCGATGAAACCTAATAAGCATCTTGTTTTCTCACCGTAATAGGTAAAATAGACTACATTATACTTGGATCATCCATAAAGCGGAAATTTGGCAGGATCTAAGCTACCACATTCCGAATAAAGTGCGCAAAAAAGTCGAAATCCAGACCTCGCCGGTGTGCCCGAAGCAGTTATGGAGGTAGTTCTCGTCCATCCAGTAGTGGAGGTCCCCGACCCAGATCGTCTTGTTCTCCTCCCCACCCGCCGCCGCCGAGTTCGCTCCGGCCCCATGGTGCTGCGGCGTCAGCACCGGAGGATGGTGGTAAGGCACGAGGTGTTGTGCGTACTGCGGAATCGGCGGCGCCACAATCTGGTGCGGCGCCATCACCATCGCCGGCTGCGGGGGGTACTGCATCGCCGGCACCCACTGCTGCTGCCGTGTCTCAGCGTTGCTGCTCGCCGCTTGCTGCATCATCGCCGCGGCTTACGGGGGGGAATCGTGACCGGAGGAGGAGGCGGCGTTGGTTTTTGGGGGGTGGGGGGGTGAAAGATGGGGCGGCGAGACCGAGTAAAGCGAGAGGGGAGGGAGGCCGTGGGTTCGGGTTGGGGCAGAGATTTATCATAGGAAGCGGCGTCTTCAGAGAAGAGGAGCGATTCCAGCCGTCGGATGGAGCGCGGAAGGAAATCTGGACCGTCGATGGGAGATAGAGGGTGCCGGGGCAACGATGCGATGTCGGGCCTCGTGTTGGGCCCATTTGCTGGCCCGATCCCTCGCTGTTATCCTCAGCGGTCTGCGCTGTCCCGTCGATTCCTCTGACCGATAACGTGGCGAAAGGTGATAAACTGGATGAGAGCATTCGGGTGAGATATCGTTTGGTTATTGGGCTGGGCTTTCCTTCAACCATCATAGCAGGAAAGTCTTCCTCCGTGGTCGGTCAACTCGCTAATGCATGTTGTTTGTGATTTGTGCATGTGTCAGCTAACTCAAATCTTGGCTGGAACAGCAACTTCCGAATTGATGTCCTTGAAATTTGATGCTTTGGACTCCCAAGTCTTCTTGTCTTCACCAAGTTTCCTGTCTTGCAGCAGCCCTCAACCTCATCAGCCAGCATCTGAGGAGGAGATGGAGATGCATGACGCGAGTGTTGGAGGAGGTGAGTTGATGGTGGTTACCATGTTGAAGATTACACTATTTAGGGTTCGAAGTGCCTCGAAATACCCCTTTTCCGAGTTTTAAGCTGAAATTGTGAACCTAATTTGGTGGGAGGACTTCAGCCCACATAGACCGATCCAACGCATAGCAGGCTTCTTGGGTTTCTTTGGCCATGGCTTCGCCAACCCTAAAATATCAGATCTAGTCTCCCTTCCTTGCAAGCATAATCTACCCATCCAGCGCCACACGCTCATCTATTTATCTCCAACCCCCCCTCGCGCGTTGCCACTGTCCTCCTTGCGCTCCAAGAAAGACAGGGCGGCCGCATGGAGAGGGTTGCGTTGCTCCGCTCCTTATCCTGCTCCACCACGGCCTATAGGCGCCTCCTCTTCCGGCCCCGCTCCGCGTCCCGACTCTTCTCATCCAACCTCTGCCGGCCGCGGCCGCAGGAGCTGCAGCTCCGCGCCTTATCCTGCTCCGGCGCTTCTCGATGGCGGCCGGGTCCCGCCCCGCCCCTTCGCCTCAGACGACGCTTCTCTCCTTCCATTCGGGCCATTTCCACTTCCCCCTCGCCCGTCTCAAGAGGTGCGGGTGAGAAAACGTGCCTGCTTGGTTACCCTTTTGTTCCTTGTCTTTTTAACTAATAAAGATTGCATTTCGACGCGATTTTACCTTCTGGGAAACTCCTCTCTCTATCTCTCTCTCTCTCTCTCTCTCTCTCTCTTACCTAGAATTGAACATTGGTATGATTTTCGAACCAGAACAGAACCCTGATGCTCAACGTTCTTGGTTGATTCTTTGTTGCTTCTTTTCTTATCTGATGTTGCCATGATTCAATTCGTTGATACTTTTCCATTTAAGCTGGTTCGGAATGTAACATTATGTTTTCTGAAGCTTGTAGCTTTAGCTTTGTTTTGGCATTTTGTTGACTATGGGTATGGAGTCTGGTATTCGGCTTGTTTATGCCAATAAGGTATGCATCAAACAAAAAAAATGACAATTGGGAATGTGGAATAGGAAATTTGATTAGATAATGCATTTTAATGCCCTTGTAAAACACATTTCTTCTTGCATATTTTGTCATTTTGTGAAACTGTAACTATTTTAAGAAAGAATTATGCCTCCACATAGGATATCTCACGGGCATGAGTAGTTCAGTTTTACAAAATACGCCATTTTTCCGTTTCTACATCTTTGCATATTTTACTTAATCAAAACAGCCTTCTTTTAGGTATTTCATCAAAAGGTAGTTTAATTGTTTTTCAGTATCTTTTCTAATGTAAACAGTGTGCAAACAACTGAAGCAATAACTTTTGTAGCTTAATTATAGTGCATATCTTTTCTAAACCGAGATAAATGGACCACTATTAATTAATAAAAGTTTGATGAATGATATGTGGTTAGTACCTTGATGTCTGAAACAACTCCTTGTGATCATGGGTGTCATTATAAAAAAAAGAATCTTTTTGTTTTCAATTGAAAAAGCATTTTGAACTAAATCTGCAGTCTTATGTGTATTCTTTTACTTTATTGCAGATATAGATAGCAGAAACGACATAGCGGAGAAACTTGGATTTGAAATAATCTCCGAACAAACAATTAATGAATGCAAAGCTACTGCTGTATTATATAAGCATAAGAAGACTGGCGCAGAAATTATGTCTGTATCAAATGATGATGAGAATAAAGTTTTCGGCATTGTTTTCCGTACTCCTCCGTAAGTACAAGTTTTTAATCCATCATTCTTATATGGCTTTTGTCATGTTTTTGTGAAGCATCGATAAGATCGTGTTATGGTTGCAGATGCCCTCCTCCTGTGGAATATACTTGTGAGATCTTGTTGACTGTATAGTTTGGGATAGATCATAGCAAGGTTCGTCATACCGCAGCATACCAATCAGTACGGGTAGTACATAGTATATACTGGTCCGACAAGGGACTGGTATGGGTGATACATTAGTATGCTCCCATATACTATGTATCAGTATGCTCAGTACGGGTCGGTATAGTTTGGTACATATCATATCGACAATTGATTGGTACATTGGTACGGACCGGTAAAGTGAACCGTGGATCATATCATCATAGTACCTTTTTAATTAAGCTGTTTTTCTACATCAAAGTGAAATAAAATATTTTATCAAATCACTTGAGTTTCTTGGTGTGCCATTTTCTTTCTCTTTCTTGATTCCAGCCTATTTTCATATGAAACTACTTATTTGTTATAAATAGTTGCTATTTTTCCATTGTTGAGATGATACAGTAAAATGACAATTTTGTTGGACTTATGTCAATTGCAGAAAGGATTCAACAGGCATACCTCACATACTCGAACATAGTGTGCTGTGTGGTTCCAGAAAGTACCCACTAAAAGAACCCTTTGTTGAATTGCTAAAAGGTAGTTTGCATACTTTTTTGAATGCGTTTACATATCCAGACAGGACTTGTTATCCAGTTGCTTCAACAAATACAAAGGTGAATATACAAACACAGTAATGCTGCTTTGATACATCACAACTTTGTAATTCATTGTGTTAACAATCTCCATGCTAAATATTCTTCAGGACTTCTACAATTTAGTTGATGTGTACTTGGATGCTGTTTTCTTTCCTAAATGTGTGGAGGACTTTCAAACATTTCAGCAGGAGGGTTGGCATTATGAGCTTAACAATCCTGAAGAAGATATATCCTACAAAGGTTGCCTACTAGATCTTCTGTCTGTTATAAATGTGTTTATTTCCTATGAACAATTGATCTTTTGTTTATTAAAGGAATTGAAATATGCTCCTGTATCAAGCATGTTATGAAAGCTTTAGTGTTTGGTAAATTTTAGTGATCTGTATGTCAGGTGTTGTCTTCAACGAGATGAAAGGAGTATACTCTCAGCCTGATAATATACTAGGCAGAGTTTCTCAGCAGGCAAGCTGCTTCCCTATTTTTTTCATATTTTGATAACCTTGATTAAGAAGATTTTTTCCGCTGTCAGTTGTTCATTTCTGTATGTCACTCATTGGCATTGCATTATTTCCCTGATTCTCGTGACAATTTGCCGATGCAGCCTTTTATTTGCTGTTCTGTTAGACTCGCGTTGTGTTTTGTTGGGCTCAATAATATAAGCCTATAACAATTTTGTTCACGATCCATTTGCATAGTCCTCATGCTGAAGTTTCAAAATGACACAGGAATATGTGTTCAGCATTCAGGTTTATTTTTCAAAGAATGGATCACTTTTACTTATGCCTCAAGGATTAGTTTTGGTGTATGTTTGTTCATGTTACCCAGGGCTGGTAATTAAGTTCCGATTATAGTTATGTAGGGATTGTTTTCACAATGCTACAACATTTTATCCAAGTTTCTAATTTTTCCAAAGATAGGGAGACAAAGATGCTTTTAAAACTTAGGGGTCCACACAGTTGGTTTTGGTACAGTTTCCAGGAAATTTTAGTACGGTTGGCTTTAGTACATGTTTGGTTTCAGGAATTTAGGATGGCAAAACCTATCTGAATTGATCTGTAGGAAAACCAACCGAACTGAAATCAATTCCATTCGCTGCAACTTTTTGTTTGGTTTCATAATAAATATTTATTTCATGTAATAGAGATATGGCATTCATAATGATAAAACCTATTGCAAATATATTTTCTAAGTATGTTACTTTGCATGTTAAACTTGAAGAATGAGATATATTATAACTGTACTTGAATACCGTTGGTATATGATCATATTATGCTTGGTTTAGTTTGGCTTGAATGTTTTTTTTTTAAATCCCAAACTGAACTTGACAAGAAAGTTCAGTTTTATATTCTTTTATATCCATACTGCACTGATCAATATAGAAGAACTGAACCAAATCAAACCTGATGCACCAGTTTGGTTTGAGTTATTGGTTTGACCAGTTCATTTGCACACGCTTACTAATGTTTAGTATGTGAAGTCATTAAGCAATAGGTGTTTTGGTAGGGTCTACGTTCATATAAAACACTCTGAAGCATATAGCATACCTGTATGGTTGAGCTGTATTATATGGTGTTACTCATCCATGGGAAGTAGATGATTTTTATGCTAAGTTTTTTTTAACCGGTATCACCTGAGAATGACCTGGCCCCACATGGGGCCACAAAGCGTTAATATGAGGGATTGAACCCTTGACAATTTGAAAAGTGCCTAGTTGCACTACCACCTTGATAAAAGAATGACAGCTTGAGAAGCTGCTTTTGAATTTATATGTAGTGTCTGTTTAATAAAAGTTTATTCATAAAAAGTAGCCTTTTCTATTTCTTTTATGGCTTGCATTTTCTGTCAGATAATATAAATGTAGTTGCTCTGAAGTAAATTCTGAATGCTCACATAAGCAAATGTTCAACGTGAAGTTCAGGATGCCTAATGTACTTTTGGAAATTATACAATTGCAGGCCCTTTTCCCTGAAAATACCTATGGTGTTGATAGTGGAGGTGATCCAAAAGTCATTCCGAAGCTTACATTTGAAGAATTTAAGGTTTGTACCTTATGCAGCTTAAAATATTTTAGGATATGCCCGAGAGGTTGGTTAATATTTTCTGCAACCATGTCTTGGATTTTTATGACATTTATAAATCTGACTTTTGTTGGCTGATTGCCTATAGAAATGGTCTTTCATTTTCTTAATGGCTGCCAGGCATGATCTAAGTGGCTACAAGGACATCTGCACCACCTGGGACATGCCAATCTTTGGCAGAAATTGGTTGCACATGGGAGCGTTCATACTATTAATATGCACCTTTGTGTCTTTTATGTTGTTGATCTGGGTATTAACTAGTTTGAGCTAATTGGATGGATACCAAAAAGCATTGAAAAGCATGTCAAATGATTCATCACATGCTCTTGGAAGGTTACAAGGGCACCCTAGGATTAAAGACATTGAGCAAATTCAAGAAATTTGTTTAGATGGATTTAATTGTAATAGTGCAAAATCTCAATGGAACATTTACTTAAAAAAAACTGATGCATCTGGAACAGAGTCGAAAGTAACAATCAAGATGCTTTCTCGAGTTGAGTGTTTTAGTAAAGATGCATATCGACAAAAAATAAAGTAGATGAACTTAGCAGAAGCAATGTTATGGTTGGGTCAAGGTAGTTTGTGCCTGAACGATGCATCAAATGTTTGATATCAGTATATCACTAATATTTGTGATACATTTTTTTTCTGAAAAGAATATACTCGCTCGTGCAAAATCTTATCTACCAAGTCATGACATGCATGTCTATCTTAACCTGTTCTGAATATTGATGCATAAACACTCCCTTTTTTTCTTTTTCAGGATTTCCATCATAAATATTACCACCCTAGCAATGCTAGGATATGGTTCTATGGAGATGATGATCCAAATGAACGGCTACGTATTTTAAGTGGTATGATTTGTTTTCTAAATTAATTATGCCCTTCTATGCCATGTCACTGTCTATTGCTATTCTTGTGATGTGCTTCATTTTAACTAATTATGGCATTCAAATAAAATTTTAGGAATGTTTGAAGATGTTGCAACCTATTTTGCACTCATGGATTTTCCTACTTACTGGATTTTCTCAATTCTGAGCTGAATTGGGTTGCTCACTACTATAGATCCTCTTTCTTGACTTTTAAGAAAATGTGTCAAGAATGGAACATCAAAGATATTAAAATTCTAATGATTGAACATTTTTAGCCATTTTGTAAACAAATGGCTTGCCTTTTATGCATGTGTGTATGACTTGTGAATGCCTTTCTTATGTTGCCTTCCTATTCTGAGTTTAAACCCTTTCTAAGTTAGAAATGAGTGGCAGTAATGACTTTGGTCTTCCCCTGTACTTGGTAGAATATTGTGTCTAACATGTTCAGAGGCTTTAAATGTCTTAAATTTACAAAAGTTGATTCATGTGAAGAACAATTATCGCTTACATCCAACATACATTTAGTTGTGCAACTCTCAATGTCCTGAATGCTAAGGAAACTGATGATATTTTGTGTGCAACATGGGTTTCACAGAGAATCTATATAAGCTGATCGATGAGAATGTTGAAAAATTAGTAAAGTGTTGAAAAATTAGTAAAAGACAGGTCGTCTGTCTTCTGGAAGAATGTCCACTAATTATTCATAAATTTTGTTGATGTAATATAAGAAATTTAATATTTTCCTTATCTGTTTATGCAACTACAAGCAGCAGGAAATATCTACACAATTTTGATTGATATTTATATTCTTATTAAATGGTAAGTTGTAGCATTTGTTGACAGTTTTCAGACTTGATATTGGAGGGTATATTATCTTCTCCATATCTTGTGTGCGTATGGAGAACTTCACCCTCAGGATTTATGTTTTCTCTCTTCTTTTTCACTTAGAAGAAGTGCCTATAATCTGAAAAGGAAGTGCTTAGATAACAAGAATGAGACCCAATTGGGACGTCATACCTACCGATTATTGGCATAGCTCAACTTAGAAACACATCATTAAGTTAAGACAAGTGTGGATCTATCATTGGCATAAATCTCTTTGATTAAATAAACATTTTGAGCTGCATGGTGGCCACAAGTTTTTGGCCTGTTGGATTGTCCTATGATCCTATCAAATATGTAAGGCCTTCTTTTGGCATGCCATCATATGCGTTTGATAGGTAAATCATTGAGTACATATTGTGACACTTAAGTGCAACATCTGTTCATTTGCATTAGCTAATTAGAGCATAGGTTGCTTAATACTAGTCTTATCTGGATTTATGTTTGATTTGTATTTTGTTCTTTTTTACTACAGCAAGGAGTATTGTAGATGCACTGTTGATGTTAGAGTGCAGAAATTTTAGCATGTTGCATTATTAAGAGAAATGTTACAATCATTGGATGGAAGAAAGTCACCAAACTGCTATTCCTCCTCCTGTTTACTAAAATAGTTCTTCATTGGTGTAATGCATTTACAAATTTGCTTATTCAATATCCTTATGTTCATACCCTAGAAAAACTTGTCCTCTACTCTGGCTATGGTAATATACTGTTTTGGTAGTTTGATGTTTCATATTATGGGAATTTACCAGAATGTGGCCTGAGAATGTTTTAAAATGATTCATCTCACTGTTTAGAATTGTCATTATGACTTTCTTTCCTTCATACAAGAGATGATAGCCAAATATACATTCATGAAGTAATAACTCTAGGTAAAGAACTTTTTTTTTCAGATTTTACAGACAGACTTGTAGTAAGAAGTTGTTGATAGAAGGTTGGTATCAAACAATATACAAGTATGGATATTATCAGCTTTAAATTTAGTTTGACATCTATCCATTATTTATATATTTTAATGCAGAATACCTTGAACAATTCGAATCGAGTTCTGCCCCTAACGAATCAAAGGTTCTACCACAAAAGCTGTTCAAGGAGCCAGTGAAGATTGTAGAGAAATACCCTGCTGGTGATGGTGGTGATCTCAAAAAGAAACACATGGTCTGCCTTAACTGGCTTCTGTCTGAAGACCCCTTGGACTTGGAGACAGAGCTTACTCTTGGTTTTCTGGACCATCTTTTGTTGGGAACACCAGCTTCTCCACTAAGAAGGATCCTATTAGAAAGTGGCCTGGGAGATGCTATTGTTGGTGGTGGAATTGAAGATGAACTTCTTCAGCCCCAGTTTAGTGTTGGACTAAAAGGTGTCTCTGAGGATGACATACATAAGGTTGAGGAATTGATTATGGGAACACTTAAAAGTCTAGCAGAGGAAGGTTTTGCACCTGAAGCTGTGGAGGCATCCATGAACACAATTGAATTCTCACTTAGGGAGAATAACACGGGTTCATTTCCTCGAGGCTTATCTCTGATGCTTCGCTCCATTGTATGCAGTTCTCACTGTGCCTCTTCTGTGAAAATAAAAGTTTCATGGTTATTTTTGTCCCCTATGAGGATTTACTTTTTGATCATTCACATCTTGTAGGGAAAGTGGATATATGATTTGGATCCTTTTGAACCTTTAAGATATGAAAAGCCATTGCAATCTTTAAAAGCACGCATAGCAGAAGAAGGATCTAAAGCTGTTTTCTGCCCACTTTTAGAGAAATTCATCTTAAACAACCCTCACCGAGTCACAGTTGAGATGCAGGTACTTGCACAATAATCTTCTTAAGATTAATTTATCTATTATGACAATTCAGTTTTGTTAATATTTATTAGTTTCTTTTCTTCTCAGCCTGATCCAGATAAAGCTTCTCGTGATGAAGTTGTTGAGAAGGAAATCCTGGATAAAGTTAAATCCAGCATGACGAAAGAAGATCTTGCTGAGCTAGCACGTGCTACACAAGAGCTCCGCTTAAAGCAAGAAACTCCAGATCCACCGGAAGCTTTAAGATCGGTTCCTAGTCTGTCATTACAAGATATTCCCAGGAAACCTATACATGTTCCCACAGAAGTAAGTCTTTAATCCATCCTTTTCTTTTGAAAATCAGGATTTTTATGATACGTGTTTAACTTGATTCTTTTAAAGATCATATGCCACATTCTTTCCATCTTATACGTCCATATAGTATCTATTGTCTGTTGAAATGCGGGTGCATTTATCTAGTAAGCAGTACACAACTACATAGGTTTGTTAATCTCTGTGGTTCCTGCTTGTGGCAGAGGTTTATGTAACCATCTTCCTCTGATTCCAAACTTATAATATGCCTCTCCAGACTTGTTGATTGTTTGACTTACATCATGACTGAAATTATTCAAATGTGATTTGTAGATACAAAATGGACTTCTGGACTTGTTTAAAGCTTTCATGTGGAATCAGTATAAATATTGTTGAAAATTAATGACATTGTTGTCTTCATTGTAGATTGGCGAAATCAATGGGGTAAAAGTTTTGCAGCATGACCTTTTCACCAATGACGTTGTTTATTCAGAAGTTGTCTTTGATATAAGTTTGCTGAAGAAAGAACTTCTTCAACTAGTACCATTATTCTGGTGTGTGGAGCTGTTTGACTTGTTATTGCCTACCAATTCATTTCATTACTTATACATAAGTCTGCCACTCTTTTAAAACTTGAACACCTTTTCTTTTACAGTCAGTCTTTGCTAGAGATGGGTACCAAAGATATGGACTTTGTGCAACTAAATCAATTAATTGGGAGAAAGACAGGGGGAATATCAGTTTATCCCTTTACATCATCTGTACGGGGAAAGGTAGATCCATGCACCCGTATTATTGTTCGAGGAAAAGCCATGGAAGCAAGGGTTGAAGACCTATTTAACCTGGTATTGTTGTTATTGTTAGCTCCACTAATCTGCAGTGACAGTGACTCGTCTTCCATGAATAGGTTTAGTAGTTGTACTTGTTTTGCATGTTTAAATGAGATCCTGGTGCTTCTATCTGTCTGCAGATCAATTGCATTCTCCAAGATGTTCAGTTCACTGACCAACAACGCTTTAGGCAGTTTGTTTCCCAAAGCAAAGCAAGAATGGAGGTAAACTTCTCTGTGAATTTCTATATATGTAAACTAAACTATAATGTTGTAACATTGTCACTGATTGCAGAGCCGATTAAGAGGCAGTGGCCATGGTATTGCAGCTGCAAGAATGGATGCCAAGCTAAATGTTGCAGGATGGATTGCTGAACAGATGGGTGGTATCAGGTCAGTTCACCTTAATCTAGTTTCTTCAAGCATTATGGTCTAGATGACATTACATGATTTTTTATAGGAAAATTCACTTTATGATATAATTGAGGCGACATTTTCCTGTAAGAAACACTATCTTAGTGTGGTGTATATGTTTTTGGATTAACATGATAAAAATATGTTATTGGTGCACATGGTCCTTGAATATATTTTCTTAAAAATACTGCTGACCTCCAAGCATAAGCAGAGCTTATTGTTATTGTTGTATTATTCCTTGAGGCAATCTAATTTATTTAGATAACGGTGTTGTTATTGATCTAAGGACTACTTTATGGCAAAAAAGGGGCAAGAAAATCCAAATTTCTCAGTGTTATGCTAGTCCGGTGCTCTTCATTTGGCTCAAAGATTTGTTTATCATCTTCATAATGTCTTTATACAAATATTTGATTAGCACATTGGCTTTTAATATTGACATGCATAAGAAATACTTAACAAACTTTTATCTTAATTTGGTCAGCTATTTTGAGTTTTTACAAGATCTTGAAAAGAGAGTTGATCAAGATTGGGAAGGAATTTCTTCTTCGCTTGATGAGATACGCAGATCCCTGCTCTCAAGGAAAGGTTGCTTGATTAATGTCACTGCTGATGGAAAAAATCTTATGAACTCCATGAAATTTCTAGAGAAATTTCTTGATTCATTACCAAGTACTCCATCCATCGAGGTTGGCTCCTGGCAATCTCAACTTCCTCCTGTAAATGAAGCAATCGTCATTCCTACCCAGGTGAAGTAACTTATTCTTGAAGATACTTCTGACAGCCTTTATTCTTCCTTTCTCATAGATGTCCTCTAACTCTGTTAATTTCTTTACAACCTTTGCAGGTTAACTATGTTGGGAAGGCTGGAAACATATATGAAACAGGATATCAGCTCAGTGGTAGTGCCTATGTCATTTCCAAGCACATTAGTAACACATGGTTATGGGACCGTGTTCGGGTTAGTGGTGGTGCATATGGAGGCTTTTGTGATTTTGATACTCATTCAGGTGCAACCCTTGTTTTATTTGTGCTTTTTTGTGGATTTAGACTTTAATAGTTTGAATTGAAAAATGCATATTAGAATAATTTTGTTCTCTTTCCACTTAAATTTGGGTTGTATAACAGGAGTCTTTTCATATTTATCCTATCGAGATCCAAATCTATTGAAAACCCTAGACGTTTATGATGGGACAGACAGTTTCCTTCGTGAGCTAGAACTAGATGACGATACACTGACGAAAGCGATTATTGGTACTATTGGAGATGTGGATGCATACCAGCTTCCAGATGCAAAAGGTTATAGCAGGTATGAGATGCCTCTTCCTATTTTGAAGTTTGAACAACTATTAGCTGTTCTCGATTAAAGGGATTTTTTTCATGTTATTGTGGATGCTTTTTTCCTGATGGATTTTATATATATATATATATATATATATATATATATATATATATGCCTTTTCTGTATGTAGAATTATGTCATGTGATGATGTCATGGATGTTTGCACTAGTTGCTGGTGGTTGCAAACATATAATAAAAAATATATGTTATGTTTTTCTTTCCAAAACTGGAATCTTTTAAGACATTAAAATGACCTCATCGTTGGAAATTACAAAACAACTTGAGGATAGTTCATAAAGCATCCTTCTTCCTCTATGTTATGTAAAATCTTCCAAAGAAAGTTCCTGAACTTGAGTAGGTAAGCAGCAAGCCATATATGTTGTTTTTATTTCATATTCTTGAAGCGTCCTGTTGTCCTAATGTAGGTCAGTAGCAAGCCATATTCATTCTTTTTGTATTATATTTTTGAAAAATCATTGATGCCTTGAAAACAGTTTTTGCTATTATTTAAGAACTTTTCTAGATGATTGCTGGACCCAGTTCCTTGTCTATAGACAAGATAAGCCTAAGTGAATATGATCGTTGTCTAATTAAGCTCTTTAGATACTCAAGCTCAATATAGACTCATTTTGCTTACAAAACAAGCGAAGTTCTAGTGCACTAGGAGGCTTATTTATCATTAATAAACCTAATCTAAAACGTGGGACATCACTAATGTGTTGAACAAGCTTGAATATGTTTCAGTCATATCTCAGGTTTGGTTCCATTTTGATAGTCAATATTGCATTAATCAAATCTGAAGGCCAAGTATTACTGAAGCTCAAGTTGTCTTGTTCGCAACACACATTTCTAGTTTCTGAAGAGACTTGTGCTAGTGATTTCAATTAAAATTTTGTCAACTTTTCCCTTGCTTTGTGTTATATTCACTCCTTGAAATAGAACCCCCAAAATCTGTTTTTGCATCACATTTGATCTCACTTGCTTTGTGTTATAGGACATCTTTCTTCTGGATCATTTAGACTCTTCTGTATCGTGTCAAATGACTTTGAGAACCCTGGGAACCTCTAGTGGATTCCTCCTCTATTGTTTTTAACTTTTTATTTGGGTCTTCTTTGTCCAAGAATGTCAAAAGCTGTACACAGACCTTTGTCCAAGTTATTTGCTCGAAAACTATTTCAAGAAATAGCTATAGGTCAAAGCACATCTTGTGTCATTTAATAACCCTGACACTGGTATTACCTAGCATTTTTGTGCTCGAATTGGTTTATATTCAATCATTACAGAAGCTTAGTAGATTGTTTGTTCTTATGCCTATTGTATCTTTGAGCTGCCCTAGTATATTTTCTCTGTTATATGTACAGCAGACGATATTAATGGTATTTTACTCCTCAGTTTAATGCGATACTTATTGGGTGTGACGGAGGAGGAACGTGAAAGAAGGCGTGAAGAGATCCTTTCAACCAGTCTGAAGGACTTCAAGGAGTTTGCAGATGCCATTGAAGCAGTGAAGAACAGTGGTGTCGTGGTTGCTGTTGCATCACCTGAAGATGTAACTAGGGCAAATACCGAGCGGTCGGGATTTTTCGAAGTTAAAAAAGTTCTGTGAGTGTAATTTTTGGCATTATCAGCAACCAGTACCGTTTCAGAAGGTGGATGCCAGTGTGAGTTCTTCCAGATACAAAGATCTAATAACTGCCCAAGGGTATCCATAAACATGGGGATCTGCACCAGCGTTAATCCGAAGCACAACCATGGTAACAAAGAAAATTACATAAAACCTTGTAGCTGGCGACTCCTAGTTTTTTTCTTTTTTCTCTTAGAATGCATTGACCATTCCATAATTTATTTGGAAATTAATTAATTAATTAGAAACTTGGGTCAGGATGTCGCTATTAGTTAGATCTTTGATGGAAGTGCATTACTACATATATCAGTGTTCCATTTCCACTGTCATCAAATACGGAAATCTTGGAAAAGCAACTGCATTTGTGTCCTGCAAAGAGCTTGTAATATACGTTTAGATTTATCTGAAGTATATATCCTTGTTAATTACCAGTAAGAATGCACATACCTGTAGAATGAACATGAAATTTTCTTATGTTAGGAAAGGTTGACAGAATGCTGCCCAAAATATTCTAGTTGGATGGTAGTTTCTCTTTGTATACCACATTACTTTGGTAGATTCTAACAAGATCCTTTCCAAGTTTTAGGTTTTCAATTGCATGCAGGCCCCTCTTTGAATGTCAAAAGTAAAATTAAGCAGATTCATCACCAACTAAGCCAATATAATTAATTCACCAACAGTTGATGCATAGATGTATTCCTATATTCGATGAACCAAATGCCATGATATTATTTTCATCATAACAGACATTATTCTAATACAAAATACACATGTAGAGTAACCACATAAAAGAACTAAAAGCTAAAATGGTGCTAAGCCTACATCATATGTAAAGAAGAAATGGATTTGTAGATAGAGGAAATGTTTTGTCAAATCATCATAGAACTTAATAAACCCATCCGCCGAAATAAAAAGAGAGATGCACAGAGATTTCCAGTTCTTTCATATTCCATAAAATCTCGTGTGTGTCGGTCATGGTTTCAAAGCTAAGCCTTTTGGCGAAGTTCTAGTGACAAGGTTTCTCTTGTGCCACATCCATGAGTCCGAAGGAGAGCTCGGCAGCGGTGGAAGGGCAACAGCTCTCCGGCGCAGGCCGAAAGGCCACCCTTCGCAGTGTCGGAACTCTCCCAGTAACGAGCCGAACTCCTCCAACTCTGTCGAACCATCAGTGGAGCAGCAAGAAAAGCAGCTCTTCACCGAGAAGAATGCTTCGCTCTCATCATCGTCATCGTGTTCTTCCTCTCCGGTTATATCCGCTCTTCCTGTCGTTGGTGACACATCCCGAGCGAGCTTCCCAGAGAATAGCAACTCATGAGGCCTCGACTTCGTCTTCATCGCTCGACTTCGAATCTCCAGTATTATCCGCTGACGAGGAGAGAGAGATCGCGATCAGATGAGAAAGATACGATGCAGGGTGAAGAGATCGAACCTGTTTGTGATCGAGATCACTGTCAAGAGTGCTCTCATCGACGGAGCTCAGATTGGAAAGAGTTCTGAGGCCGGAGCCATGGCACTGAGCACAAGCCTTCCTGAGGAGCTCCGGAAGGGATTTGGAACCGTTCGATGCGAGCTTGGATTTGTCTTCCTGAGGAAAGAAAGCCATCCTTAAGATGAAGCAAAGAAGGGAAGAACACCAACAAAGCATGTGAAGAATCGGCCTCCGTCTTAAAGGATGGTTTGCTCATGTGGTTGGGTGGTGAGGAGATGTGGACACGCATGACAAAGGCCTTGCAACCTAAAACCTTGAATCAAGGAGGGTGCAGAAATCCTTTGGGGTGAAGGCGAAGCATGTAAAACGGGTCGAGGAATGCATGGGGGGTTTTAGGAGATCAACGAAATGTCAAAATTATGATGCTCATCAAATCAAAATCTCCCAAACACATACGCACTATCCTCTTAGATTTGATGGAAGATGTTAGTGGCAGAGCACAAATTTTGGCAGTTCATTTCTCTTTCTGGTTTTTTATTAGCCTAAGCGGCAGGTTGTTTTCAGATTTTGAGTTGAAGCTGTAGTTGAGCCAAAGACACTGCACCTAATTCAAGTGGCCGAGTGTTCTGGGTGTGCGTAAAGGTAGATATAAGTTGGGAGAGTTCATCCGTCAACATAATTTCTTGAGATTATAACTCATTATTTATTGATCATAATTTTAATCAGAATATAATTCAAATTTTATTATAATTTTGTTGGATCACATTATCTAACATCCTCTTTAACCTTAAAAAATAATCTGACATCCTTTTTACCTTAAAAGATTTCATGGATCGGTATTGTATCGAAAAAGTTTCATGGGAGGCGAGAATTGTTTAGGCTAATTATAGATTACACCTTTAATATCTCAATCCGTATACTTTAAAAAGTTATATTGATATTTTTATAGCTATAAAAGTGAAATATCTAAGTCTATATATCCTAATATTATTAGTTTTATAAATAAAAATATAAAAATAAAGTGTAAATAAATAATTTTGACGTTCTAGTCAATGATAACATATGGCTTTAGTGGTGGTAGATGACGACATCGCGAGTAACTATTGTGGATGAAGATAGTAGTGACGAGAGGTGAGGGCTACTTTACATCCATGTCAGCAACGAAGCAATTATCAAGCGATAAAAAAATCGTTTGACATTTGGTCCTTTCGTCGCTTAATAACTACATCGATACCAACGCAAATGTAAAACAACGAACGAGTTACTCAATAACTATGTTGACGTTGACGTAAATGTAGAGTGGTCCTCACCTTTTGTCATCGTTCTCCTCATGTACAACAACTTGTGACTCCACGGATATTACGATCTACCATTATCAATTGAAATATTATTTTTTTTATTTTTTATTTTTATTGGTATAACTGATAGTATTAGAGTAAATAGATCTATACGGATATTAATATAATTTTTTAACAGAGACAAATTGGGATGCTAAAGGTGGTTTAATTAGTCTGAACTATTTGCCACTGTTATTAACTGCTGAGAGCAAAACATGTCGAGGAAGCTAGTCTGGCGACGGCGCACTGCGGAGGGCTTCTATCGTCCGGCGGGTCAGCTGCCGAGCGTGGCGGCGTTGGGCTTCTGTCGCCGCGCACGCTTCCTTGTGCCCCTATCTCCTCCTCAGCCGTCGGAGAAGTGGAGGAGAAGAGGGCGCGATGGCGTCGGCGTATTCGAAATCGGCAATTTCGGCATCGATGCCTGCCATGAGGGCTCTCGACGGGCAGAAGCGAAAGCCTTGCCGCCGTCAAAGACGCCCCACGCGTACGTGCTCTCCTCCCTCCTCTCTTCGTATGACCACCAAAACCACCGCAGAACGTTGTAGTTAACAGATTACACTGTTATAAATGTATTAAAACGGCATCAAATAGGAATATTCTTTTTTTTATTTACCATAATTTTGTAGGATCAAAGAAATTTGATTTTGTGAATATGAGTTTCCTTAGAGAATGACATACATTGTTACTTATCTTTTTTTTTTTTTTTGTGACAATAAAGATGGAGTGGATTAATTCTTAGTGTCTGATGTATCAAGTACTCTTAGCTTGTTGTTCCAGAACTTCTTAACTAAATTTGTTTGTTGTTCCAAAGGATAGTAGTTTGTTGTTGTAGAAGCTTGATAATTAAGTGCTCTTGTTTTTTTAATCTAAGGATAACCTCTCACTGATGTTCTGCTAATTATTCCTTTAAATCACTAATAAATGTAACTTTAATTAATGCTGATTAATGTTCTTAGTCTCCTAGATAATGCTTATAAGTCAAGTTCAGTAAATATATTATAGGCTTAGTTTTGTTTTAATTTGTTTTTTAAAAAGTTACCTTTGTTTCTTCTCAAGTATGGGTTTTTTTTTTTTTTTGTCCTAGATGACATTTATCTTTTTCCCTTGGATAAGTTTCGTAGTGCTTTTGGCTTTGCCATTGTCCATGTTTAACTATCTTCTAATTTTCAAAGTTGCTTCATATACTGAAATCCACTTGTCATAAGAATGAACAATTGAGCTATGTGTTAAGTCTTAAGATATCATCACAATTGATACTTTGTTTCTCTAGATCCTGAAACCCAAGAAAAATTATGAATACAAATGCTTTTTGCTTCTACTGGTTTATTAACATATCAGGTGAAATACTTTCTTTGTTTAGCATTTGTGAAAAATGAGATTTCTAGCATATTGTTTGTTTTCCTTTCTTTGTTCCTTTTTTATCATTTGTCAAAGTTTAAAATTTTTTTGTCACTAAAACAGGTTTCACATGTAATCTTCAGATCTTTAAGTGGCCTATTTATGAGTTTGTCAGACTATAATATATGATAAAGGGCCTGAAGACTGGAGATTGATTATTCATTTTATGTTGCTAATGAACTGTTCTTTTCTTTGTGATACTTGGGAAGGTCAGTATATCATAAGCAATGCAAGTTGTACATTGATGGACCAAAGTATATTATTGATCATCTACGATTTAGATATTTGTCAACCTCTATAGATTAGAGTAATAGCCAAGTCTATTTGCTTGAATGTGATCTTGTCAGGAGAACATTGCAGTTATGAACGGCTACATATTGTAGTTTGTCAGCTAACAGTAGTGTTGTTCTAAATTCTAATGGCAAGACCAGGTAATACCTGTGAGGCAAAAGTCAACTTTTTCAAGAGTAGCTTGAACATAATTAGCTGGAACACCAATTTTAAATCAAACACATCATGCATTTTCAAAAACATATAAAAAAAATGAAATCTTGGCCAATATATCTTCTTGCATTATTTTGCATCTTCTATGACTGATTGAATTGGATTAGGTATGCTACACTGGCCTGATGTGTGTTACTTTAGATTATTACTAAGCTCTTCTCAAATATGCTCAGTTACGATTGTTTTGCTTTCTTTTGTAGGTCGAAAATGTAGAGGGTAAAGTCAAAGCTTTGCTTGAAAGAATTGAAGATGGAAAGGTTTCAGAATCTGTGTTTTTTTTCATTTCTCTATAAAACTGGTGATCATAATTTGTTCCTGTGATAGTTGCCTGGGCAACATTGAGTATCTACAATTTGATTGAATTTTCTGCTGTACTCTCCATCTTATGTTGATTTTTCCATCTTTGCTCATTGGTGTCACTGATATCTCTCTCTATTATCACTATGCTAGCTATATTCTGCTGTCATTTTACTATTGTTATCTCTGTCTTCATCCACTTTTTGGCTTATTTACTCATAATATAGTTACATTTCCTGGTATTATTTGATTACTTTCCTATTTTCTCATAACACTAGTATATTTCCCCATTATTCTGCATCTAAAATGTATTCACAGCTATTGCAATCTAATTCTCATTTGTATATACACTTTTTTAGGTGATGATGATCTATTTTGTAATGATATCACTCTTCTGCATCATATTTTGCTTATATTGTGAATAAGATATTTCTTACAAATATTTGCATTCTGTTACTTTTATCTTTGCTTTCTACAAAGGGGTGATTGAAAAGCTTTAGAGTTCAAAGAGTACAATCTTAATGCTCAGGTGCAACCAAACCAAATTGGCTATCTGCAACCTTTGCTAGAGGCATAGTTAAACTCGCCTCTTCACTTTCTGTTACTTCTGATGATGTATGCTTGAAGTAGACATATTGGCTAGACAAATAGTTGGTTCCACTTGTTGAGTATACCTTTATGTATTTAATTTCAAAGAAAGTTGAAGTCCAGGTTAAGTTTGCGAATTGTGATTATACTTATGTTGTCAAGACTAGCAATATTTCACTTTAGCATATTAAGTTACTTTGCAATATAATGCAGTTACATTTTGAGAAATAATTAAAAACAATATATATGTGCCATCTTCCATCATCTCTTGTGATGGCTTGTAATGGATTAAGTACTGCTGGAACAAAGGTTCTAACTTTTTGATGCAATTTTCATGAAAGTCGGTGTTATATCAACTTGCCATGTTATTTTGTTATGTTAAAGTTTTGATGACAGAGTGTTGATATACAAACTTGGTAATTTCGATAGAAAAAGAGAAGAAAACAGAATAAGGTGAAAAGTGGCTAACTTTTATTTTTTGGAGATGCATATTTAATCTGCATGGACTCCAAAAACTAAGAAAAGGAAATGGTCTTATCATCATGATTATCTCGATTCAGTGGTCCTTGTGCCTACATCGATACTTCAAACTAAAAAAGAATATTAAGGTCTTTTTAACATAAATAAGCTTGATCCTGGGGGCCTTGACATTTAAGGCTTTGCTGTTTTATGGCCTAGTTCAGCCAGTATGGTATGGGTCTTGTCATACTGGCATGATACTTAGCATCATTGTTGGTACCAATGTTTCACAACTTGTGATCTGTGCAGCTCTATATGGAAATACATATACAGATGCAATCATGTAATCGCCTTGCATAAGGCTATGCAATCTGATGGTCTATGCAACTGTGTTGTCACAACCACTTGTCATTTTGTATTCCTGTTTTGCTTCACACTCTACTCAATTAAATATCTATAATCAGTTCAGAACAAACAACATAATATGTTGACATGTCACATTCGCTTCCCTTCTGCTGTTTGATCAAGCAAGAGGACTTGCTGTCATTGAAAGGCTTGCAATTTTGGTTTTCCTTAAACTTCAAATTACTTTGTCTCAGGTCTGTGAGGAAATTCAAAGTATCTTTCTACAAATGGGGTAAAAATCTCTTTTTTCTTATTACTAACAAGTTATAACAATGCTAAAGACTTATCGATCCCAATTTGCTTCTTGTGTAGTTTTGAGGAGATGCCGACAAATAACTTTGTTGAAAGCAGGTGGAAGACTTATTCAACTTTTCTGGTTATGCTTATACATTTTATATGATATAGAAAATTTGGAAATTGATATCTGATAAAAATTTGGAAACATATGCCTTGTTCTTAGATTTGATGGTTTGATTAGGTAATTTCTGCATTTAAGAAAAGTTCTCTGATAATTACCATATTTCATGGAAACATAACTATGAATTATCGACTTTGGTATTTCGATGAAATTGGTTACTTCATTTTACTTTTGTAATGATAAACTGAATTGACCCCTTCTGTTGGATATTGAGAGAAATTATTTTCTTGATTGTTTGCTTTAAGAGCTGAAATTTGTTTAAGATTGAAGATTGTCAAAGAGTGATTTTTTCTCTATATGCAGCAATTTATTTACCCTAAACGACTTCTATTTCAAGTTTAGATGGATTGCTTAGTGCTTATTTTGACTGTTGAGTATACTAAACAACTTCTATTTCAAACTTTTCTATTAGTCCTGAACATGATTCATGCATTTAACTCTTCAATATTCTATACTTTGCTATTTAGTAGCTTGACTTAATTGATGAAATTTAAATTTTTTTGTAGCTTTTGGAATTTCGATGCTTTATTCCAGCCACAACAGCATCCTGCTCATGATTCACATGGTACTTTTTTTTTCTTAAAGGTTAAATGCTTTGATATCAAATTGAAATACCTTTTCTTTTTTGCTCAGATTTTACTGAAATGCTCATTTAGTGCTTTGTTCTAGCAGATCCTGGTTCTAGGAGATCCTTACCTGATGATTATGTTGAGAGAGTCAAGCTTGTTCTTGAATCTGGTGGATATGGATCCAAAGGGTATGTTCTTATGCTTCTGTTGGTGATGTATATTGTCAAGTTCCTTGCATAACTTCTTTATCTACAGATATGGATATGATTGGAAAGGGAAGAAGCTGATAAGAATCTCCTTCGGACACACACAACTGCAGTTTCTACTAGAATACTTTACATGCTTGCTCAGCAGGTATTTAGTGCTCCAAGGTTGAGGGTTTTTTTACTCATTATTAGTTGAGTTGATGAATTTTGTTTAACTAGTAAGATTCCTTATATACTTCATGGTATAGTATATTCAAAGTGCAAATTCTTTCACTGAATTTTAATTGGCTTAAATTATTATTGCATTTGAGATGGATGCATGGAGTAATAAAAAAAAAGATTAGAAATTTTTTAGTTATTGTTAGTTTCAACTTCAGCATAATATAAGGGAGAATTGTCTGAGGTTAGTCGGACATGTTTAAAGATGTGTGAACCCAAAATGATAAGGTGTCTGGTAGCTCTTTGATTAATTATGGGTTTTTCCCCTCAACAGAGCCAATCGTTGGAAAATGGAACCACATAGCTGAACCCAAGGTTCACAATTTCAGGTTCCGAACCCTTCTCGGAGGTCTATCGGACTAATATGTATCGGCCAGTACTTGTGTACCTACACATGGTACGTTGGTGCATACCAGTATTTCGGGGTTGAAGAAAAAGAGGAAAAAGAGAAATGGGTGATGGAAAAATAGAGGAAGAAGGAAGTGATGGAAGAAGAAAGAAGAGAAGAAGCAATGGTAGGGGCTGCGGTAGTGGCATCGTACACGAGAAGAGGGCTTATGTTTGCGAGCTATAATTTTTTTTCTTTTTTTAATACTGAGTCGGATAGGGCCTCCTCATTTTTTTCTCCTTTTTTATTATTTTAACTGAACCGCTCAAGACGGGGATGGCCGGTATATCGGCCGTGCCATACCATTTTGGGTGGTACAGTTATCCTTGGCTGAACCCAAATAGTTAGGATCTGACAGCTAGTGTATTTTGTCAACCTTGTTTATTATGACATGACTTTATTCATGTAGATGATGCTAAAAACTTATTTAAGCACCGAGCACAGAATCAAGAGCTGCTTGTTATTGGTTGTAACACGTAAATTTATGTGATTCATTGACTTTCAAAGGTTTAATTGGATTTAAAAGCAGCTGTGATTCGATATATGTACCGTTGATCTGCTCTGCCACCGATAGCTAATAACTATATCAAAGATCTTTTTTCTTTTGTCAATGTACAAGTTTGCACAAATCTGTAGCAATATGCTTGAAGTATTCTGTATAATTTTTCTCCTCACTGTGCCATTCGAACATCATCATAACAAAAATTCTACCTTCTTCTCAGTGTGATGCATTTTTGCTGCTGCCCGAGCCGAGAGATGAACCACCAACCTGAGGAAATTGAGCAAGATCAGAGCACAAAGCCCTCCATAAACCATCATACGAAACCGGCTCCCTTGTGCAACAGCTACCACCATCAGATCCAAGGAGTCCGCTGCAACCAGAAGCCAGCTTGTTGCTTCCAGTGTCATCCTAATCACGGAGCTCAGCTTTTCTTCTCCGTAAATCCTGCACGCCATCCTGGAACACAGAGCAGTGGCCGTCGACACTGTAGTCTTGGACCATCCTCTGTAGCCAATCAGGCTTCCTCCGAGTACCAATGCCTCCCTACGGCACACGCATGATGCACACAGGCCGGACAAAGTAGACTGTCTCAGAGCTGCCAACCCTGTGTAGTAAGGCAAGAGGACGGAATCCAGGTGCAGGCTGGCATGCAGAATTCCTGAAACAGTCGAAGCTTCGAGCACTGCGTACTTGATGTCGGTGGCGGCGCGATTTCTGAAAGCCAGGGCTGAGACATAGGCGAGCTGGAGGAGGGCGGGACCGACGTGTGTCAGAGGGAATATGGTGCCGATCCTGCGCCCGTTTGCGAAGATTAGGACGAGCAAAGGAAGCGCAATCGGACCGGAAGGCAACAGGTATCTTCTCTTCCACCTTCTTCCGTTGCTGACATCCACGGAGCTCCGCCTGCATCTGAGTTCAACGAGGGTGAAGACGGTGGCTGAGAGGAAGCACGAAACGGCGAAGAGCAGCACCGACAGGTCGACGGCGGGCGGGTAGTCTCCTTCGTAGGCGCTGTCGCAGAAGTAATGGTAGGGGCAGTTGACCAGATCGGTGGTTTCTTCCACCTGCCATCTGGTGCACTTGAAGAACAGCTTCTCTGTGTTCTTCTTCATGCTTCGTCCTCGATGAAAAGGATCATCGGTCTTTGGGCGGTGTCTTCTTCTTGCTCTCAACACCCTCTCCAGCCGCGGCGGTAGCTGGTGCGCCACCTACTCTGATCCTCTCTCTCTCTGTGTTGGTTGAGGTAGAGCTTCGTAGCTTCTGGCATAAGGAAACCATATGCCACGGTACGTATTCACGGCTGAAGCTGAAACAACAAGGGATATATTGGCCGTGAACACGTCCGGAGGTCAAAGGATGTTTGACTTAGTGAGGGACGAGATAATGCAGAGTTGCCTACAAGCCTGTTAAAAGTCGGATCAAAAACAGGGTTTGGTGGGGATCCATCCATGACTGTTTTCTTTATATGATCTATGATTCCTGCTTGTTATTCTCGCTTCTATCAGCCATACTATAACAGCAGGTTGTGCTCCACCAGCCACCACCACCTAAGGGCAGAATTCAAGTAACCAGTCAACTTCTCTGGGTGGAATGTCCTCCACCTCCTCATCCGGTGGAATTCTACCCGTTTCCACCATGAAAACAAAACATGGAAGGTGGGATACCAATTGCCTTCGATTGTAACCTAAGAACATATATACCAATCACTAGTATTATTTGTTCATAGACTAATCGTGTATGATTAAAGACTAAGCCTATTAGTACTAATGCATTTGAACCTTTGTGATATGAGGAGCAGAGTAACTTTTAATGTCTAATGATGATTGCTAGACAAGTGAATTCTAGTAATTCACAGTTGTTTATGAAACCACTAAAGAAAGCCTTGTTGTATAGCCATTGTTAGGTACCAGCTTGCTTGAAGAATATTTTCTAATTATCTCATGTAGTTAAGTTACAGGAGATCCTTTATAAAATACATAGTTCGAGTAGTTGCATCTGACACTTGCACTATTTTTAATTATCTAAAAAAATCTACACACATTATCAAACACTTGTTTCTTGCACTACGATTAGTTGTGTAGTCACCATCAAGAAATGTCAACCATGACAAATATTAAGGAATGACTTGTGCTTTCAAATATATATAGTATTATCATCCATCGATATATCGATGAAATTGTCAATACGATACATATCGTACCGGCATATAATACTATAATACTTAGGAGCGTATCAATGTATCATCCATACCCTATTGTACCGAGTGATACGTTGAGGTACGATAAATCTTGATATAAATCAATTAGCATATAAATTGGATAAGTAAGACGACCCTTGCATATAACAACTCAACACATCATCTTCTTAGTCTTTTTTCCTTTTTATTTTACGGTGGCTTCTTATTCTGAATGTACGAGCAGTAATTGTGGATGTCCCCGGCAATCATCATATCAATCACTTTTAAGGCTCTTTCAATGTCATTATGCTCGGCTTAGTTTCCTGATTTCCAAAAAGTTCTCGTATGTACTTGGGTTTTTTTTTTGCTGGTGGATAATATAATTGTTTATTTTGCTTGTTATTTCCAGGTGCAAAAAATAAGATTTTCATGCTAGAGATTAACATAAACATATAATTAGATTGTGGTTCCACAGTGTCCATATACTGGTTCATAGTTAAAGATGTTCAGAATCTTGAAGAAGAACTACTTGTACCAGAATCTCTTTTTCATATTATTCTTTAGATGAATGACACATTTTGAGAAATTGCTGTGTGGACATTGTTGGTGTCAACAATTTTAAGCCGTGGTTTCGGGGCCAACACGGCTGGGTTCAGGTCCGAATGATTAGGGATCTTCTTGGGACGATCGTTGAGACTGTTGAGGTGGCCGACTGCGGTGGTCTGATCGCGATGGGACAGTTGTTTCCTCCGGGAGGGAACTCCTCGCTTGGGCACGCGGTGGGAGGGGCTCCGTCTTGGTCCCTGCACACAGGTCGGGTCGAGAGGCTCGACCCAACCCCTCCGACGATCAAGTCAATGGATAATCTTAGGGGGTTTTTCTCACATTCCTTTCCTCTCTTTCTAAGCACGAGGGTTTTTATAGGGAAGGTTATCGTTGCTTGATGTACCCGCTTGCAGGGAGCAGGATTGTACTCTTGGTAACGTCTGACACCGGTGTTGGCGTGGCGTGAAGGACCGGGCTCGCGCAGGATGTTAATGTGCCTTGGTCGACGTTTCGGTCTGTTTTGGCCAGGCGCTGTCAGGTCAACCGAGGCGCGAGGCATCATCCGGGCGCAGTTGACGTTAACCCGCATCCCATCACCATTATTGCCCTCATCATATTCCCCCCCCCGAAGGAAGCTATGCGTCGGTTGTTGTAAGGGGGGTCCGAGGCATGGCTTCAGCTTTAAGAAATTGTCCCTGTCGAGCGGTAGCCGGTCTGTTACCAGGGGTGTGGGAATCATGGAGTTTAGCAATCGAGGAGGGCTAGGGGCGCAACGGTAGTCTCGGGCAACGTGCAACCGAGGAGCACGACTCAGTCGGGCAGGCCGAGCAGAGGTGGTCTCGGGCAACATGCAGCCGAGGAGCACGACTCAGGCGGGCAGGCCGCATAGAGGTGGTCTCGGGCAACATGCAACCAAGGAGCATGATTCAGGCGGGCAAGCCGCGCAGAGTTGGTCTCGGGCAATAT